CCAAGATATCTTTACTTTTTAATTTGTTTATTAAACAAACGTATTATTCCTTTTGGCAAAGTGCCCCATGAAATAACATATAAAATAGAGTCTTTAAGATGGAGTTCGTTGTGTCAAGAGTGCCCTGGAGTTCTCCGGGATGCTAGAAATTGACTGTATATTGCTGTGCATGGTGGTTACATGGTGTGCACATAAGAACGTATTTGTCTGTACTCTGAAGGTTTGTGTTCCATGCTGGATATACCACACCTTATTCTATTAATAATTAACGAAAAAATAAATCAGAAAAAAATTGCTTAATAATTTACAATAAACTTTTCCTATTTGTCAATTGCATTCGTATCAGTAAATAATTCAATTGTAATTAGACACACAACGTGTGTATTAGGAAGACCATAAAGCAGAACAACACCTGGAAGGAATGTTTTTCATGTCCTCAGAAAACAACAACAAAAAATCATTTCAAACTGCAAATTAATTATCTGAGTTCCTACGAATGAATGATTATCAAATCAGAAGAATACAGTTGCAGATCTTGATACCAACAGGGTAGCTTATTTGCAAATCATTTTAATTTTTCTCCTGGAAAGTATACATACAAATGAGAACAACGATGACAGCAGAAGCAAACCTGTGTATTCAACTGAGTGAGGGGGGGAAACGCAAACCTCCGGGTGTGTGTAATTGTTTCCCAAGCAGCAAAGCTGGCAGGACACAAGCAGGAATGTGGAGGGACGCCTGGAGGAGAATGAAACCTGGGACCGGGCAGCGGCGCCTGATCCTACACAGCAGCGCCTGATCCTACACAGTGCTGGTGCAGGGCAAGCTGGTGGTAGAGTAGAAGGTAGTACAGCTTTCTTAAAGAGGCAGTGTTACAGCTGTGGTGACCCTATAGCTCATGACTGCTTCTGCAGGGCAGGGCTGCCCCATAGACAGAGGGCAGCAGCTCAGGGCAGGGCTGCAGTCCTATTTATACCCTCTTCCAATAACATGCAGATCAGGGGCTGGTTTAGGCAGAAATCTCTAGGGAAGGGGGAGTCACTTTGGGGTCCCTGGGCCGTCCCGAGTGTTGACCTGGTGCACCGTGGACTGCCTTTGGAAAGCTGTTTTCATCTCAGTCCTGTGTTAGCTGATCCTCAATTTGGTCCTGTGTCTGAGTCCCACCTCTGGAGTTGATCCAGCCTCTCATCTCAGCATCAGCAGGTGTTCATTCCCACTTCCCGCAGGAACTGCTGGGTACTGTGGAACAGTGTGTACACACCGATTGGAGAAAGGAGGCTGATTAGAGATGGATGTTTCCAGGATCACAGCGGCTGGAGAGAGACCCTCAGCAGCCTCCTCTCCAGAACGGGGCTTGAGGGCAGCAGCCACCTCAGAGGAGACACCAGGGCTGGAGGCACAAACCCTCCTGAATCAGGTGTGGCTACAAGAAACAAAGTGTCTCAGGAAAGAGGGGTCCCGTGTTACGTCAATGAGTTTTTCCAACAGGAGTAAATATGTAAGGAAGCTGATGAGCCGAGAAATCTGTAAATTCTCTCCGTCGCCGCCTCTCCATGACTGTGCTTCTCAGAGCAAGTTCAGAAAACGAAACTTATTTATGTGTGAATTTTAAAAATAAATAAACATAACTTATACAAACACGGTCTAGGACAAGCTTGTTCAATCCACAGGCCACATGCAGCCCAAGACAGTTTAAATGTGGCCCAACACAAATTCATAAACTTTCTGAAAACATTATGAGATGTTATTGTGATTTTTTATTAGCTCATCAGCTATTGTTGGTGTTGATATATTTTATGTGTGGCCCATAGGAATACTTCTTCCAATGTGCTCAGGGAAGCCAAAAGATTGGACACCTCTGAGTTAGGACAATCTGTAAGAAAGAGAAGTAATGCTCCTTTATATTACCAACATGTCAAAAATTCATGTCACAGAGAAAGTGAAAATTATAGTCCGACACTCCAACGTGAATTGAGAAACACGTTGTTCTAACACAGTAAAAGTCAGACACGTACAGCACAATGTAGACATGTAAGATCTAAACAGGGACAGTTTGACAACAAGATGTGATGTCTGCACAACATGGGAAGGTGAAAAGAGGGCTGATGGTCTTAGGAAAAAAGTGTGGATAAAGACAATGTCATCTCAGGAATGAAGGCCGGACACAGAGAAGCTCAGGGAAGAGGTGAACTGTCACCACCACCACCAATCTCAGCTGCACGGTAAGTCCTGGAGGCTGGGATGGGAATGATGGATGGACCCAGACAGAAGGGGTCCCAGACAACAGATATACAAGAAAGCAAGCAGGTGCAATGGACAACTCATTAAATTTATTCAAAAAGACAACCGGTTCCGGGAAATAGAAGAACAATGTAATGAAAAATTCAAAATATATTCTTAAAATAGAAGACTCAGCTTGCTGAAAGAGCACACCATGCTCTACTGAGAATTGACCAAAATAATCATCATCATCCATCTCATGGATGTATAAGTAGAAAAATTATGTGACAATTAAGAAAAAGGCCCTTGAGGAGCAGACAAAAAGGTCAGGTAGAATTTGAGGGAGGGAAAATGTGTCTTTTGTCAGTTGTTGACAACCACCTTCCATGACAACGGAAGACAGGGAAGGAGCAGCTGCAAAGTGCTTGTGGAAAGGAGGTTGTGTTGAGGATCTCATGCACAGCTAAAGTACCTTTTCGCTCTAAAGGCCATGCTCATAAAATGATCATCAAACAGGAAACTGAACATTGCTCACAGGAATACCCAACATTCCTCACAGGAATACCCAACATTGCTCACAAGAATACTGAACGTTACTCCCAGGAATACTGAGTGTTGCTTCCGGGATTACTGAGCATTGTTCACAGGATTACTGAACGTTACTCACAGGAATACCGAGCCTTGCTTGCGGGATTACTGAGCATTGTTCACAGGATTATTGAACGTTACTCACAGGAATACCGAGCCTTGCTTGCAGGATTACTGAGCATTGTTCACAGGATTATTGAACGTTACTCACAGGAATACCGAGTGTTGCTTCCCGGATTACTGAGCATTGTTCACAGGATTACTGAATGTTCCTCCCAGGAATACCGAGTGTTGCTTCCCGGATTACTGAGCATTGTTCACAGGATTACTGAACGTTACTCCCAGGAATACCGAGTGTTGCTTCCCGGATTACTGAGCATTGTTCACAGGATTACTGAATGTTCCTCCCAGGAATACCGAGCCTTGCTTGCGGGATTACTGAGCATTGTTCACAGGATTACTGAACGTTACTCCCAGGAATACCGAGCCTTGCTTGCGGGATTACTGAGCATTGTTCACAGGATTACTGAACGTTACTCCCAGGAATACCGAGCCTTGCTTGCGGGATTACTGAGCATTGTTCACAGGATTACTGAACGTTACTCCCAGGAATACCGAGCCTTGCTTGCGGGATTACTGAGCATTGTTCACATGATTACTGAACGTTACTCCCAGGAATACCGAGCCTTGCTTGCGGGATTACTGAGCATTGTTCACAGGATTACTGAACATTGCTTATGGAAATACCGAGTGTTGCTCACACAAGTCTTTTTGAGAAAATTGCTTGAGAAAGAACTGAAAGCACCAAGAGAGGACAGGAGTTTTTTAAGAAGCCAGAATACTGCCAGTGAGCATTAAATAGGCCTAAGGCAAGCCTCGAAAGCAAAGGAGAAAATGAGTGAAACTATGACCATTGCTTGGTATTTTCCAGCAGTGCAGAGATTAGGGAACAAAAATCGGGAGAAGAGATAGCGAGAGATTTTTAAGGATGGGTTAGCTTATGTATTTTTTAATTTGAAAATAATTATTTTCATGGAGTAACAATGCAGTTACACAAAACAACAAATATTGTATAATAATGTAAAATTATCATGATTTTTATGATAAATATCAGTAACTAAATCCTATATAAAATTTGAGCAAATAGGACCCAGCATTAAAGTAACAGCACATCACAACCAGTGAGATTTAGTCCAGCGGTGAAAAGATAAAGTTAATACATTCTTCATATTAATAGAATTAAGAAGAAATATATCATGATGCCAAACGTGCACTTAATAACATTTAGTGACTATACGTAGAGAAAATACTCAACATAGAAGGCTTTGGATGTGATAGAAATGGAATTAAATACATCTGTGGTACCCCCAATAACATCATCAAGCTTTACAAATTAAAACTTAAAACATTTCTGCTAAAATCATAGACAAAACAGCCATTTCCAGTATTATCATTATTTAATGAAATACGAAAAGCAAGCAAGAGAGAAACATGATGTAGTTTTCCATTTAAGGGAATTTATCATGCAGAAATTCCTGCATATGCACTGTGACAGTTAATTTTATGTGTCAACTTGAAGGATATTTTTGAATGAGATTAGCATTTATTTCTTTATTTTATTTTTGCAGATCACAGAACTTTATTAAGATGGAATCACTGCTAATTACATAGAAGCTAAGAGGCAAAGCCAAAATCCATGAGGTTCATACAAATAAAAAATCAAGACTGGGCATGGTGGCTCACGCCTGTAATCTCAGCACTTTGGGAGGACAATGCAGGTGGATCATGAAGTCAGGAGTTTGAGTCCAGTCTGATCACTACGGTGAAACCCCGTTTCTACTAAAAATACAAACAAATAGCCGGGTATGGGGGTGCATGCCTGTAATCCGAGATACTTGGGAGGCTGAAGCAAGATAATTACTTGAACACAGGAGGCGGAGGTTGCAGTGAGCCAAGATCATACCATTGCACTCCAGCCTGGGCAACAGAATGAGACTCTGCCTCGAAAAAAAAAAAAAAAATCAAATGCCATATTCAAAACTGTAAGAAACTATCCTCATGCCCAAGTGATAGGCTGGGGTGAATAAGTCTGAACATTTTATTCCGATTTGTTAAAGAGCTTGAGGCTGCACAATGGTCCCTTGCATCCGGGAAGCCAAAGAGGTCCTGCATGCAATCCTCTCCTGTGTGTGATGCAGGGATGCAGGCTCATTGCGAATGTGTTGTCCTTGTGCAGGGGCCATGCTAATCTTCTCTGTGTCCTTCCAACCTTAGTACATGTGCTGCTGAAGCAAACCTGAGATGAACATTTAAATCAGTAAATGCTGAGTCAGCAGATCGCTCCCCTAATGGGGGTGGGCCTTATCCTATCAGTGAAAATCTTGAATAGAACAAGAGCAAGAGAACATCCCCAGCTGAAGGCCTTCGGAGGACACTGCACCACTGGCTCCCCCGCAGCCCACGTGGGACACTGCCAACTCCTCAGGGTCCACAAACGCATGAACCAATTCCTTGTCATCTCTGTCACCTTTCTATCTACCTATCATCTATCTCTCTCTACTATCTTTCTATCTACCTGTCATCTATCCACCTGCCATCCATCTCTATCATTCATTGATTATCCATCTGCTATCTATCTCTCTATCTCTTTCTTTCTACTATCTGTCTACCATTTAGCTCTCTATTTACTTACCATCTATACATCTGTCATCCACCTCTACCATTGATTGATTATTCATCTATTATCTATCTATCATCTATTTACCTATCTATCATACATCTACTACCTGTCTACCATTTAGCTTCCTATTTACCTACTATCTATCCACCTGTCATTCATCTCTATTGATTGATTATCCATCTATTATCCATCTATTATGTATTATCTATCTTCTATCTACTACCTGTTATTTAGCTATCTACCTATTGTTTATCTGCCAGTCATGTATCTCTATCATCCATCTATCTCTATCATCCAGTCTGTCTATTATCTATGTATTTATGTATGTCTGTATCTACCTATCTATCTGTCTACCACCTATTATATCTACCTATCTATCTACCTGCTGTCCATCTTTATCATCCATTGATTATCCATCTGTAATGTATCTAGTTATCTATCATCTCTCCACCCCTTTTCTATTATTAGCTTTCTATCTACCTGTCATCTATCCACCTGTCATCTGTCTCTATCATTCGATCTATCTATCTATCCATCTAGCTATCCATCCATCCATCTATCCATCTATCTATCTGCCATCTACTCCCGGTTCTATGATTTAGCTTTCTCTGTCATACATCTATCATCTCTCAGTCATCCACCATCTGTCATCTACATCTCTCTCCCTTTTATCTATCTATCCTCTATCTATTCACATCCATTATTTTCATTCTGTTTCTCAGAGAAATACAAATTAACACACACTAAACAACAGATGTACAAGATTGCATGTTGCTGGATTTCATTAGAAACAACCAAATGCCATCAGTGGGGTCTGTAGAGTCAGTCCCTGAAAGCCCAGCATGTGCACCAGAGGCCCCAGGGTGGACCCAGCAGGTGCTGCTGTCTCCCTGTGCATCCGGCTGGCTGCGTTGTGCTGGAGGAGTTGGTGGAGGCTGGAGGCTCCCAGCACAAGCGCCGGGCTGGGCTTTCTTCTGGACCTTGGAAAGCAGCTCCACCCAGGCACAGGCACATGGAGAGGTGGGGGCACGTGGCCCCTTTCTGAAGGACAGCCCTCCATCAAGAGGGAACAGGACTCTGGGAAACGGTCCAGCTTCTGCCCTTTGGGGCCATAGCTGAGGTATGTGCTGCTGGGTTTCCAGTGGGACACCTGGTGCTGGTTTCTAGGGTCTACACTGGCAGTTGGTCCACACTGCTGAGTTTTACTGGCTTCTCCCTTCCCGCCCTTCTCTCAGACGCCTCCCAAATAGTCTGGGCATCCAGTCCCACTTTGATTATGGAACTGTGATTATAACAGGATCAGTTAAACCATGTGGGATGTGGACGTATTGTTAAGTTAAAAGAAGAAATGCCAAACCCAGTACAAACGTGCTGTTTGGGAAGAGATGTACCCACGCATGCTGTTGTACACTTCTGGCGTTTCTTGAGGAAACTTGGAAAGCAAAAGCATGTGTAAAAAATTAACAGAAGAGTGGCCAGTCTGTGTGGCTCATGCCTGTAATCTCAGCACTTTGGGAGGCTGAGGTGGTGGATCACTTGAGGTCAGGAGTTCAAAACCAGCCTGGCCAACATGATGAAACTCCATCTCTACTAAAAATACAAAAACTAGCCAGGCGTGCTGATATGGGCCTGTAATCCCAGCCACTTGGGAGGCTGAGGCAGGAGAATGGCTTGAACTTGGGAGGCGGAGGTTGCAGTGAGCCGAGATGGCGCCACTGCACTCCAGCCTGGCGACAGTGAGATTTCATCTCAACAACAACAAAAATTAACAGATGACAGGGCACAGTGTGTGGGGGGATGCTCCTTTGCTCAGGCTGTATAACCAAACATGGCAACATGGGGCACTCAAACAATATGAATGTATTCCTTCTGGGTTATAGAGATCGGAGGTCTAAAAGCAAGGTGTTTCCAGTGTGGGTCTGTCCCGACCTCTCGGGGCTTGCAGGCAGCCATCCTCTCTCTGTCTCTCCACGTGGCATCCTTCCTCTGCAGCCGTCTGTGTTATAATTTCCCCTTTATATAAGACACGGGTTATATTGGACTGGGACCTGCCCGTATCATCTCATTTTACCTTAATCACTGCTGTAAACACCCTGTGTCCAGATGCAGTCACATTCTGCGTCATTAGGACTTTATGAATTTCGGGGGCTCACAATTCAGTTACAACAGTGGAGATGAAACTATGACTTCTAAATTCTTACCTGTTTATATTTTGATTTTTAAAGCATATATGCATTTCTGGGTAAACTATTACACTTAGGAAATAATATTAACATAGAAAAGGAGCTAGTGTGTGCTGTGGAAAGCATGCTTCTCTTTCATTTACTTTATCTGTTCTCATATCTTCATCAGAAATTCTGAAAGCATAACGCTACACCGGGAAGTTATTCTTCTGGTTAATTTCCCAGGTGATGAGCAAGACATGTGGCCCGCACTTGCTGCCCCCACCTCTTTTCCAGAGCCGTTATCCCAAACCGGCAGTGGCCACTATGGCTGTGCTTCCGCCAGAGGCTTCCTCTCGCTCTAGGAGTCCGCTGGGCTCAGAAGGGAGAACACACACAGCGTTTTCAGCACATCTCTCTAGTCCTCAGGATAACAGGGCAGGGGCTACATATCTGTGGCCTCTTGTCTTTACTTCTGTTTGCAATTCAGAGACCAAAGATTTCCCAAAATCTATGGACACCCTTGTGGACAGAAAAGGGCTGCTATGTCAGGAAGGGCAATGAAGCCTGACGATCGTGTGGAATTTTTTTTTTTTTGCTACATTGTGGGGACAGGAAGGAAATCCTGTGTCTGGAGCTCAAGCGGTCCTCTAGGATCCACGCATTGGCTGCTTCACTCCCAGAGATCCCTGTCAACAGGCGATTGCGGTGGCTGCTGTGTGACTCAGACACCGTAGCCAGAGCCTCATCCCTCCGGGATATGCCAATCTTGCTGACCCTACTGGCAAACAGTAAAGACCAACGTACCAGCTGCCTGAGCGAGCGACCTGAAGCAGCAGAGACTGCTGGGAAGGAGAACGAATTCCAAGTCTGGAGTCAGAACCAGGGCAGTGGGAAGGATTGTGTGTATTCCGTGAATCATCCTTTCATTGTCTTTTTAGCTCAAGTAATGGGAACTTTCTGCCTCTTTAAAGAATCAGTGGCTGGACAGCGTGAATGTCACGTAGGGCATAGCCTGCAGACCTCCTCGCTCTGTGCACCTGTTGGCTTCCACCCTCTGCACCGGACCTGCAGTCCTGCCGGAAGGATCTCTCTGGCTGCAGGGCATCCTTGGCCTGCCAAAAGTTCCAGAGAGCTACAGGCCCAGACGCAGGCCTCACAAATGACAGACGGAACTTAATAGAAAATCACTTCAACTCTCTTGCCCCTACAGCAAGTCACAGGAGAGCCTAGCTCTGGCGGTTATTAACCTCTGCGAAAGGCCATGAAGGAGCACCCCAGGGCTCGGAAGCCACCTGTGTCATGATCGGATGGTGGCTGCCTGAGTGAACTCAGGAGGCACAATTCCTCCAGCTCCACGATGAAGATTTTGCAGCTTTCCTGCATGTATGTTATACTCAATCATTTTAAATTTAAAAATATAGGTAGGACTCTAATTCATAACACAGCAATTGGCTAAACCCAAAGGTTATTCTCATGATTTGCATGGAATCCTGTGGAAATAAATGCATGGAAAATAAAGGGGCACCTTTGTAATATAAGCAGAACTAAAGTGGAATTCACTTCTGTCAGTGTGTGATGGCGGGCACTCAGCAGAGGATGAGATTCGGGGAGAGAAGAGCAGATCACTCCGAATATGCTTCAAAAGATCTTCAATGGAGGAGACTCTGATCCCACTCCAGAAGAAGGGATAAAGGTGGAGAAATATTGGGAGTCATCAACCTAGGACCGTATCAGAAGGTTCACTGGTTGGCTGCATTATTTAGGGTTATAGAAATTGGTAACAAGGATATAGGGTTATCCTGTATATCCATCTATTTGGGGTTATGGAGATTGTTAAAGGGGATATGGGGTTATCCTACATGTCTGTCTATTAATGAGGGTTATGGAGGTCTGTAACAGGGATATAGGATTATCCTACGTGTCCATCCGTTATTTAGGGCTATGGAGACCCTTAAAGGGGATATGGGGTTATCCTACATGTCTGTCTATTAATGAGGGTTATGGAGATCTGTAACAGGGATATAGGGTTATCCTACGTGTCCATCCGTTATTTAGGGCTATGGAGACCCTTAAAGGGGATATGGGGTTATCCTACATGTCTGTCTATTAATGGAGGTCTGTAACAGGGATATAGGGTTATCCTACATGTCCATCCATTATTTAGGGCTATGGAGACCCTTAAAGGGGATATGGGGTTATCCTACATGTCCATCTATTTTTTAGGGTTATGGAGATCACTAACTCAGGACTCACTAAGACAATGTGAATAGAAAGTCCTCTTATAACCGAGCTAGTGAAAGACAGTGTGAGAATGTTTTGGACTCTACACGTATAAATGTTTCCATAAATATAAAGTGTGTGCAAATGAAGTGCGTACACACATGCCTGGGACAGTTCTAGTAATGAGATCATTATTTGACGATTGTTCGGAAACTTACCTGGGCTTGAG